CCAAGTATCTGGTTATTACAGGTTTGCCACCCTGCCCAGAATGAATCTACTCTTATTGTTTTTTGGTAGTAGGGATTGCTTAACCACTGAGCCACACCCCCAGCCCTTTTTATTTTTTGTTTTGAGATAGGGTCTTGTTAAGTTGCTTAGAGCCTTGCTTAATCGCTGAAGCTGGTTTTGAACTTGCAATCCTATTGCCTCAGCCTTCCAAATTGCTGGGATTATAGGCATGTTGGGATTATGTCACCAAGCCCATCTTGAATCTATTTTTAACAAAACCCAAAATAAGCTCTACCAACCCTGATCTTGCCACACCATACATAGTTCAGCTTCACCAACATTAACAACATCCATGTGACTTATAGGGCTCAGTACACTCTGATTTGGTATGCAGACCCCCATTTGAAAGGAAGGTTATCAACAAGGTGAAGAGAAGGGCTAGTAGAATACCCTCCATCCACATTTTTTGTTTTTATTCTCAAAACAGTTCTCATTTGCTCATTGCTATAGTTTGGATCTAGACTGTCTCCCAAAGGCCCATGTATTGAAGGCTTGAGTTCCCCAGCTTAGTACAATTGGGAGGTGAAGCCTAATGGGAGGTTTTAGGTCATGGGAGATGCCATCAAAAGAGATTGTGGGATCCTGGTTTCTCCCCACTGCCACCCTTAATTCCTAGCCATGAGGAGATTGTGGGACCCTAGCCTCTCTTTTCTTTCTCTTGCTGCCCAGCTATAAAGGAGTGGTTTTGTTCCACTACATACTTCCTCTATGACGTGCTCCCCCTCAGCAGAGGCCTAAAAGAAATAGATCTGCCTGATCAGAATTGAAACTTCAAAACTGTGAGCCAAACTAAATCTTTTTCCTTTGTAAGTTGATTATCTTAGGTATTTGATATAATATCAGAAAGCTGACCATCAAATCATTCAAATAAATTCCACTGATTATTCCAAATGTTTCTGCACTTTAAGATAACCACTTAGAAAAGTTGCAAAAATTAGAATTTCCAGGACTAAAAAAAGGGAGAAACTCTGGAAATAATCCTTAAAGAAAAACATGAAAAGAGAACGGGTTCTGCATTCTTAACACAAATATTTACATTCTATTAAAGGTAAAATTCAAATACAATTCCAATAATATGTGTTACATGTTGCAACCTGCAGGGAGTTCAGTTTGGTTCAGTTCTCATTACACATCTCTGTCTTGTATGAAGTCCCTGCACTGGTGTTACTGAGAACAAGCCCAATTAGAATCAGAACAAATACCTGTCTAGGCAGAAACTTTCTTTGGTTTTAAATGTACAAAATTTCCCATCTTTGCTAACTTTTTATTTAAACGCCTGGGTTAAATAAGGGCCTTGAATCTATTATTATTATTATTATTATTATTATTATTATTTTATTTATCTATTTATCTGTTTATTTATTTATTTATTTTGGTACCAGGGATTGAACCCAGGGGTGCTTAACCACAGAGGTAACTACTAAAAAGAAATTTAAATGCCTGATCCAGGGCTGGGGTTGTGGCTCAGTGGTGGAGTGCTTGTCCAGCATATGTGAGGCACAGGGTTCAAT